TATTCAGGGATGAAAATTTTAGGATTACGCAATTTCCTTCTGAAAACGAGGCTTTTCGCCCCCTTTACAGGTCAAAATTCAATTTTAAGCATTTATGCGCAAGAAATACACTTAATCAACTTTAAGATTGTAATTTATTTCCATTTAAACTGTTTTCTCATTGATTACTTTCACATACGCAAAAACGAGACTTCAAACACGAAAAAGAGGCTGATGGGCCCCCAAAATGCCCGTATAACACCGATTTTCAAAATCAGCACCCCCGAATTGACCAAAAGCACTTGGCCCCATAAATTTTGCTCTCGAGCGACCATTCCCCTATTCTCTCGAAGTTTGGTACTGGCTATCCCATTCAGACACCATAAATCACCTCAACTGCGCGATATTTCTCGTGATTACTTTATAATTGCAGTCTTTTGCTGTATATAATTAACTATAAATTTGGATTGTTCCAACAAGCAGCATAGCAATTGATATTTCGAACAGTTCCTAATAGTAATTTTCAAAATGACGCCTCCGGATCAAGGCTCTATTCTGTGGCGAGAAAGCAGGGAACGCCTATTTAAGTAATAACCTTTAAGAATGTCGCTAATGAGAAGACGGCGAAGCGTTTCGACTCCCCCCACATATTTTTTCGAATTGATAATTAGCAGCAACAACGACCTCGTCGAGGTTTCTTAAAAGGAGGCTCGCCATGAACATAGGTTGGAATGTCTTTAATTTATTCTTAAACAATTTTCGATAGACACTTCACAATATCGAGCACTTGGGATCAATTAACCATAGAGGCGAGACTCTGGAAGGATTTACCATCAGACATCAGATATTGTTTTATTTTATATGACGATATGAAGCTTATAAAAGGTTTAAGCACAAAGGAGTGAAACTTTTAACCATTTGTCATTGATCACGGTCAAATCCTATATAAAATGTTTAATTTATGTTCTTGTAAAACTGATATCACGGCTACTCGCATCATGCAAACATCCATGCTAACTAAAACTCTGGGCCTTTATTAGATTCTGAAATCAAAAATTTGGTACCAACGACTTTGTTTACTCACATTTTTTTCGTTTTGACCGACTTCCCTGGTGCAGGCAAAAAAATCGACTAAAAAGTTATTTATCATTCCGGCTAACCTTTATGGTATGTGTATTATCGGCTCAAATTTTTACACGAGTCTATATTTTCACTGGAAAAACATTTTAACTGCCTCGCCGGTATCAAGATTGCTCTGCACACCTCATAAAACCCCCACATATTTGCTGTGCTTACACTTTGCATATGAGGACCTCCCAATCCACCGACATGTATTAAACATAAAGCAGCTTCTTGCTGGCGAGGCAAATCGGTGAATAACCATGCTTATCTAATTAACATTAACGCTGATTTTGCTATAATGTTTCATCTGTGTTATTGATGTTGTTGTTACCCCTCACATCGCACTATCCCATAGTGCATTGGGAGGATGGTTTTATGTAATAATGTCGTCAGAGGTTTAGGTAGAGTTTATATCAGCGGTAAATGATGTCTTTGTAGATATCTCATGTTTCTATTTCTTCGCTTGATGTTGGTCGATCTGATTGGAGACTGTAAAAAGTTTGAAAACATAGAGTTCTTGATCAGAAAATCTGAATAATCGGTGGCTCACCTGTTTGGATTACAAGCTAGGCCCAGTTTACGCCACTGGTTTGCCCACAAATATCATTGATTTTGGGCATTATTACCATTTTCTCAATGACACCATTAAACATCATTTCAGTGATTGCTTGATTTCAGTGATTAAAGATTTTCCGCGTACCGCATTATGTTTATGATACCGATTAAATTAAGGATAGTTTATACTTCTTTTGCTAAGATTGTGACAGCGTATCTTATTCTAATTCTGATTTCAGCCAAGATCTATACCATACAGCTTTGGTTATAAAGACATCTTTTAGCAAGGGCTTTCAACCGTTGACCGTTGTAGAGTGTTTGAGTCCACTGTCCTAACTACAATAAAGATACTGATTACTCTTAGTACGATACCCTTTTCTATTTTCTACCCGAATCGTTGTCGATGCTTGGGCATCTAGCAAAGGCTCCATCAAAAGATAATGAAGCATTTTAAAAACCTAACAACGTATATCCTGTATGACAAATTTAGCCGTCTATTTCTTCAACATAATTATTGGAATTGTTTGAATTTATGCCTGGAATTTTTACTGTCAGAAAGAAGAAAAGAAAGTAAATCAATATATATGTTTACATCGGCATATGGAAGTTCCACAGGTCCCACCCTTCCTTGCAATCGGAATCATATGCTAGCAACTCCAGTTAGTTTTAGAACCAACCACTCCCTGCGGACATGTATAGTATGATGGCTGGCTCCCTCCATCCTTTCTTGGTCTTCAAAGGACATAGTCAAATGTCTTTAAACACAATAAAACAAATGGATTTGTGGTGGTATAATGTTGCCACACAACTCTTTGAGTTTAAAGCTTGCCTTGCTTTGGTAAAACCAGTGATTAACTTGAAAGGATCTGATTTATCTGCCAGCGGCTTATATCATATTTCTTAAGCCATCCTCGGTATTACAGATCATATCCTGCACAAATACAGCACGCTTTATTTCAGCAAACAGAACTGAAATAGTATTCATTCTTTGAAACTAGCGCCAGCTTACCTCAACGTTTCATCATTAGAACGTAAAGAGGTATTATTGCTTAGGATACATCTTTGCATGCCCAGTAGCAGTGTAAAACGTAATTTTAGAATAGCATGGAACAGTGGAAGCATATCATATCATACTAAAAATCTTTTCGTCAGACACTCGTCAGAGTATAAACGTCGGATTGTGTCCAAAGTTTGGTTTAGGGGTTGTACTTACTCCTCACCCAACGTTTTTAGAAGATTAGCCGCCTATTTCTTCAAAAAAATTATTCGATAGGGGTATACAATATGTTCGATTATTTTAACACAGATAACATCATCGTTATGGACTGAAATGATGCAAAAAGGTGCCTTTCTTCAGTGTATGGACAAATTTGCAAATTTTTCCCGTGACTGCGTCAGTTACCCTTCCATTTCTCCGCGGCAACTGGTGTTGCAAAAGTTTGCGATAGGGAATTTGAGTTTCTAATGTTGATTCCATGTGAATGAAGAGATTTTTCGGTTAGTTGCATATAAACGTAGCCTATGCTTCTTCACGAAAGGTACTCGTTATGTCTGTGCCTCTTTTTCCTGTTGAGCCTCTTCCTTGTTCTTGCCTGTCAAAGCTCCTCCGCTATTACACTGAAAAAGCAAGACTCTTGATTTGAAAACAAAAATGAAGACAACCATTGTCTATGATTCAACTGAATACACATTTCGAAGGAAAGTGGAGAGCATGCTGTATTTAAAGGGCATCCAGTTGTTAAATGCTCGACTGCTCACCTAAAAGGACTTCAATAGGGAATGTGTTGGCCAGTTTCTGCAGGGATGGGAAAACTGCTCAATGCTTGAATGATCCATCTGCCATGGACAGTTTTTAGTGTCAAAGTCTCCCGTTGAGTTCCAAGCATTTTTAGAACGTTAGGGCTTGTCTAATAGGCTTAATTGCTCTTCCCCTTCTAGGAGAAATGTAAGCGGCTTATGTCCGGACAAATTTTCAAATACTTTGGAAAGATTCACTGTCGTTTGAAATCCAAGAAATCGTGTCAAATGGCTTTAAATGCTAAGTAGAGGTCTTGTTTGCTTCTCAATTTTAATCATACCAAATTTTTTCCAAAACTGTCTAGAAACAAGAGTCTGTAAACCCACCTTGTCAAACATTTCTATATTCCATGAATTTCTAGAAAATTACTATTGGACGTCGGGTAAGGTACAAATACCAGCGCACCTCATACTCTTTGGAGCCTGTGTCAAAAATCTCCCTCCCCCTATTTAACAGGTGATAGTTTGCCTAACGGGAAGAGAAACTCGGAAAGAGATCGTTTTACGAAAATGTCCATTAGTTAGTGTCAAAAGAGCTCTTTAATTGGTACATCAAGGAATCTGCTTTTAGAGTTTTTGGATTTTGAAAATACTAATATGGCCAACGGAAGATTTAAAGTCTGCTAATGATTACAATTATTTTGACTTTGTTTGTGAAGTTTGAAGGAAGATTTATTTACAGTTATTCGATGGGGAAAAACCTGTATGGCCATAGTCAATTTGTAACACGTCTAACCGATTCTAAAAATGTTTTTATTTATGATATCATAACTTCAGAACCTCATTATGGATTCTGTATAGTACAGCAAAAAGGTTTTTACAGTTTGATAAATACTTAGATCATTCATATCAAGAAATATACAGCTTAAGATAATGTAACGCAATCAGTTTGCCCAGTTAAACCCTGTTTAGTAGGTTTCAGCTGAAGTTATCTTCTTACACATCAGACAGAAAGTGTATCTTACATGATTCCAATTCTATCTCTCTATATAGGATAGAATATATGATATAAATAAAGTGAAAGGATGTTTTTATAATATTTAGAGTTAGAGAGGTTCAGAGGACTGTATTTGAATTCTATGATAAGGCAATTCTCTCACACAAAATCTAGAATGCGATAGAATAAACACGAGTTTATGAAAAAAGAATGTTACTTAAACCAGATGAAGAACGTGAAGAAATAAGTACAGATTGGATCACACCTGAGTGATTGTAGTTCTTTTCTTTACATGGAAGTTGTGATATTCTCATAAGACGCTTTTCAACGTCTCATTTGTATCTTTTCTATTTAATTAACAACAACTGACAAAACCTACCAAAAAACAACAATCAAACAATACAACATGAAAACGAGGATTGTTCTGTTCAGAATTTCCAACAGAAGGTTTTCCTTGGGTTATTTGGGGCCTACTTGAAACTATTGATCACCTGCCTTTTGTTGTTGTGCTTATCATTGCCTGACTGGTTCACCGTACTTATGTCACACATTAACTCTGTTAGCCGTAATTGTGCTTATTCTCGTATTTAATTCTAAACCTTATCCGTAGATAACTCTGATGCTGTATTCTACAGAAACACTGTCTCCCATTCAAAGCACTGGATAATTCATTTGCAGGCCGGTGGTAGTTGTGTTTCTTTAGACGACTGCTTAGAAAGATCAAATGGCCCACTTGGCTCTTCTATTCATATGGACTACGCGTTCACAGGCGAATACACGTTGTCAGATGACCCTAAAGTTAACCCTACTTTCTATTCTTGGAATAAAGTTTTTATACCATATTGCAGGTAATTCTGTTTCTGTTGCCATGCCTAAATTAATTTAGATACCTTTATTTAGCTATCGATCAGTATTTGCCCCCACAATTCATAAGATCACGTGACTGTGTCCAATTTTACTTGTTGACCAACTATCGAAATATCCATTAATATTTTCATTTGCGGCGCCGTACTTTTTATCAGTATCATAAGATTTTGTTTGACTATTTGTCAAGTGCAGCTATTTTAAGTCCGACTATTTGTCAAGTCTGACTATTTCAAGTTCTGGAAAAATTGATTGATAGTTTGTGACCTGGCCTTAAACGTCTGAATTAATTCGATACATGGCTAGTTCGGCGATTCTTTGTTTTCTTGGGGTTGTTTACCGTTTGAAACACCAGGGACCAATTGATCCCCTATCCAGTTCTCTGTTGGCTCGGATAATGGGTTGTCTTCTTAGAAAAACTTGTATCCTTTTTCGTAACAAAAAACGTGCGTTACTTAGCATACAGCTCCATTATCTTCTTTATAAGATTATTTGAATTAATGCTAAGCTAAGCTATATGACCTTGAAGATGTTCTCTACGCTAAACTTTTCATCTTTTTCTTTGGTAGCTGCCATGTACATAGCGGATACTAAACGTTTAGGAGGGTAGACTGGGGGGGGGGGGGTGGGAAGGGACTTAGTATTGGATCTGCCCGAATATTATTGTTTCATTGAGATAAAAGTGCCCGGATTGAGCATGAAATGCGTTAAATTGTGTCTGATTATGGGAACAGTACTCGTGATTTCAACGCGACTGCGAATTCAATATAAACTTGTATTTTGACTTCTACTAAACACCCAACTTCAAAAGTGCAGTCATAGAGATATATATTTTAATGGAAATCAGGCAAATTTACCAGTCCCTGTCAAATAATTTGTTGCGAAAAAGTAGAACTTTTTTCTACCGGTCGAAATCATGCGAATTTTTCGCGAAATCAAAACTATGTACTCGCAGCGAAATTCACTTCGTAGAAACCTGCCTTTTGCAAGCCTGCTGCGGTATTGAGAATAAGTTTCGTGGCAGTTCTTCTACCTATGCTTTGCTTTTTTTCTAGTAGTTGCCATATTTTTCGCTTTTGTCAGTAAAAACAAACAGCAACGAAACATGATCAAGACAGGGCGATAACGAGAATACAGAGATGAATGTTGCAATAGCAAACACCGATTTAGTTGCAAAAGAATTTAAGAACTACGAAAATGCCTGCATTCCAGCATATACTAGATCTATACTAGCTCCCCTACGAACAGAATATTTTCTTACGTTTGTATTTTTCATTATTTATATTCAATTGATATTGTTATTTATCCCCAATCATTTCTCGTTTCTTGTTGTTAGTGGTGACGTATTTGTTGGAAGAAAACCAAAAGAACAGCATCCATTCAAGATGCCCATGCTTGGTCATTATATAGTTGTTGCTGTTGTCAAGCAGTTGATTCATGATTACAGAATCAATAGAAAAGGCGTCAAGGTTTGTTCATTTTTTGATTTTGCTAAATACAACCTTGTATCAAGGCTTCATCTCCAAACAATTCTCGGCCCTGAAGTATTTCCGAGGGCTAATTGACTTTTTCGCCCCCTTCTTAAGGGGTGAGTAATAGTTTATACACCCTTTTTGGAAAGTGCACTCATATTGTGGGTAGGAAACACCCCAAGCAAATGCCAACCAAGTCAAATGTCAGCTGATATCTTCTGTGTATTTATTTTCCATCTCGTGTATTTTTGGTCTTTAGAGAGGATGTCAAATGGGCTTCTTGCAGAGGGAGCAGCTGCCCCCGTGGTGTCAGGGCAAGGGGGCAGCTGCCTCCGCTGCCCCCGTGCTTCTGGCGCCGCTGGGTTTACTGGTGGGCCAATCCGCCCCTATCTTTGCAGATTTTATAGCCTTCTACAGGTTAAAGATTAGCAGAACCAGGAAATATGACATCCATACGATGTTAGTCGATTTCTGTGTCGGTTGCTTCATTTTTCTGCAAAACAAATAAATTTCGATGCTAAATCTATTTCTAAACTTTTTTAGTTGCACTTGGTCCCAGGGTTGTGGTACTAGGGGGCTAAGGGGCTGATTCCCACCTTGTTCATGCCGCTAAGAAGCCAATCTCTACATATGCTATTTTTGCAACATTCTGCTAAGTGCCCCCTCGTTATTTTGGTAGAACAACAGCATGCTTGGTCCCTGCACTTTTAAACATTCATTAGACGCTATTTAGATACATTCCAAACTTTTCCAGATACTATTCGGTGGCACATCAGCTGGTGGACTCGGTGTTTTGGCAAATGCAGATCATGTTCAGAACCTAACCCATCCAGCAGAGGTAACTAAATATTTATTTCTTTGTGAAGTTGTATTGATATCCCGGGTTAGACGTTGATGTCTGTCTTTACAAACGAGCAATAAGTTATTGAGTAGAAGGAGGGCTGTATTGCGAGCCTCCACAACGAGTACGTGTTTACACGACTTGAGTTGAAGCTACAAAGGAGAACGGAATTTTGCTGTGTGTGCAGTGTATCTTCCACTTGACTGGTTTTATAAAACAATTTGTTATACAGAGCTATTTCCTAAGTGCATATGCTAATAGCATGCTATCAGAATCGTATCATACCAAAGTAAACAGTGTCTGTGATACCAGAGGAACTGGCACTGAGCGGTGTCAGTTTTGGTCCTGAAGCCTGCACATTCACACGTGGTTGGTCAAGTTCTGGACCATATCAGCTAGGGTTAACACGGAGAAACTAACACAAAAGAATCCACGTGCTTTTTATAAACTGCTGAAGGAAGCGTTCCAAATTTATCGAAATGGCCACTGAAGAGCAAAGAGTCTGAGGCCCCGTTCACACGGGAACGCAATCGTTCCGTTCCGTTCTTCTCCGTTCCGAAAAGTGTAACGCTCAGGGGTTGTGTTCACACGGGAACGCTTCAAATGTCATCGTTCCGTTCCAAAAAGTGGAACGATAAAATAAGTGATACGAAAAGTGGAACGGTACGCAATCGTTCCGTTCCCTTCCCGTGTGAACGCGCAGAACTTGTCCAGAAAATGGAACGATAAGAGTTTTGCCCTTTGGCGCATGCGTCTGTGTTGTGGTAGTTGTGGTTACTTTGGGCTTGGATGGACTGGTAGTCTTTCATCACCTCGAGAAGCAGCTGAATCTCGTCGTCAGTCCATTTAAAAGATTCAACACCATTCTGCAAATATTGAAGTTCCTTCCTTTTAGGGTTGGCTTCCATTTTCCCACGAGCTTGCTTATTTTGGGCGCTTTTGTATTCTCCATTTATTCAAATTGTTTAGAAAATTCAGAGATGGCTCAGAGATAAATCAAAATGATGAAATCTTTCTCCATTATGGACATGCGCTCTAAAAATTATTTGCTTATTTTGGCGCGCAAATTGCAGAACGGAACGATTGCGTTCCCGTCTGAACATAAACAAAAATCGATACGCAATCGTTCCGTTACCGTGTGAACAGTATACTTTTCCGTTCCAGAAACTGGAACAAAAATGGAACGGAACGATTGCGTTCCCGTGTGAACAAGGCCTTAGGCCAGCAAATTGTGAACGGTGTCAAGACCAAATTTTAACATAATTAAATCTAGGCCATCAGCAATGTACTGTTATAAATCAAGGGCCCGGAATTCTATTAAAAAGTTTTAAGTACTAAACATTGCGAGGGTGAAATGTAAGAAGCCAAAAGTTGATACACGAGTTTATAGTGGAAAGTTCAATGAAGAAGTTGTTCTTTTGAGCAATGGATGAACTAAAAAGGAAAACGCGGTTGAATCTTGAATTCCAACGCACTGCACAATTAAATATGCTTTCTATCAAATGTGTCCATGCGAAAGGATCACTAGAATAGTATTCATGGTACATGGTTTTCAAAGTTACAATTTGTATATATGTCCTTTAGTATAGCAAAATTACCTCATTCCTTAAGAAGACTCTTCCAATAAATAATGAGGTATTAATTATATAATAATAATAAATAATAAATAATAAATAATAAAGTGAATAGAAACTATCGAGTGTATCGCTGCGAATAGATTGCAAGGCATCGAACGCTATATATGCAAGGCATCGAATAAATTTTACAATCTCGAAAACTGTCTTTTCGATATCCGTGTACCTTTGTCCTTTCTTGAAACTCAAAAGTAATAAAATAAGCCTTTGGTACCGTAACATTTCAAGATAGCAGGGAAGAGCAGGAACATAGCATACGGTATTTATTCTACTTTAAGACGGCCTTGGTTGCTAACCGCCTTTGATTTTGAGCCGCAGCAAACTGGGTACTTAAAATAATTAGTTCGAATTGAAGGACGCAAAACTGAGAATAGCTTCACCATGTACTCAAACAAAAAATGGCCATTAGAAGTTCAACACGGGGTCATCAATAACGTCCAGAAGTACGTCATCTTCTACGTCATCATCCTCTGCTTTATGCTGCTTCAAGGTAGCAGCCACACTAGAAACATGCTCGGACCAGTTCATTTTAAACATTTGAAACTCTACGCCTTAAATCACGCACATTTAGAAATTTGTAGTGTTGATAATTAAAGTTGTTTGTAACTAGAGACTGTGCGTGCCCAATATGCAATAGCGCGGGGGTGGAAATTTTGTAAGTGTGCGACATAATTTTGGGTAGCAGGCAAGCTTTGCAGGATCTGGATGAAATAATGCAAGCCACCCTTGCTGGAAAGGTGCCAAAAATAATTATAAGCCACGGGTTATAATCGAATAAATGCGGTCCTTCTGTATATCCAGAAATTTATTATTTCCAGTTGGAGATCGAAAATAACGTGATAGGAAGAATGGCGGGTTTGATTGGTTCCTTCTTTGACCAATCGCCGCCGCTCAGCTCTCACCTAGTTGAAGAGTCCAAGAGAAAATTCTCTCCATCTTCACATTTCGAGGTCCTTTGATTTAATGAATGGCAGGTTCATAAAATAACACCTGAATTGAAAGACAACCTTGCCTGCAAAATGATTTTAAAAGCAGTCTATCCCCTCCGTATTCTCCGTTCTGCATTCTGATTGGTTATTTGCGCATTAAACCAACGACGCGTGAATATCGTGGCCATGATAAGAGATGGGGGACATACTGCCCTTAAAGTTGCCCTCACCATATGTTTTGGCTCATAGCCGCATCATATTTTATTTTGGCAATCTAGTTTATTGTAAACACACCATGGACTAACTCTTTTCGGAACCGTTTTTGCCTGATGTCAGCGTGAACACGCTGTTTTAATCTATCAACCACTCACTGCCTAGTGCGTCCTACACACTAAACTTCATATCGGCACGCAAATTCATAAACGATTGAACTTTTCAGATTGGTAGGAACACCATCCTTCAAAAGCTCCTGTCCGTTTAGAAGGACAGTATTCCAACTGATCAAAAAAGTCCAATCCTTAGTGAATTTTTGTGCCGACATGAAGCCCCGAGCCCGATATTTAGAACGCACTGGTCAACGATTAGTCGATAGGAACAAACAGCATGTTCCGTAACCATCTGGAAATGGCGCCTTGGAAATTGGGGATAGTTCTAGGAGGGCTTAGAAAAAGGCTTGTCCGTGTCGCCAGACAAATCGCCAGAAAATTTGCAAGTCATCTTCGGTGTATTTTTCCACCGTTATTTCATTTTTGTGATTCTTCATTAAATTAGTTTGAATATCATGTATGAAAATGGTGTATTTGTTTTTAGTATCTTCATTAAACCCACCAAGCAGCTTATCAAGAGGCAAATACAAAGGGGGCTTATACAAATGGACCAATGTGGGTTTTCGGCACTTGTTTCCTGTTGATAGAAATTTCCTGTTGTTTCCTGTTTCCTGTTGGTAACTGTGTATCTCTTCTTGCAGGTAAAGGCGTACAATGATGGGGGATGGTTTACCCTGTACCCAAATTTTGGTGAAAATTTCTTCAGTCCTGAATTGCCGCAGTTTTTCAAATTTCTTACATACGTAAGCAATACTTTTTTGCTTTGTAGATATGAACCCTTGGTTTTAGTGGTGAATAATAATCAATGTGACTAGGAGGGAGGGGTCTTAGATGGTTAGAATGTAGAATATTTAATGTATTTGATTTTCCAGCGATTGATAAGCGTGGTTTTATACAAATAACTTGTTAAACTAAGATTGTATGATAGCTGGGAGATTTTTGCGTCGCTGCTATTAGGCGAAAATTCCTTTATGCATGGATTTTCAGCTGTTATAATTTAGCGAATCAGGGCATGGCCAAGAATCATAGGCAGATATAGGTCAGGAAATTTTTTTACCTCGATTCGCTTAAATCTTCGAAATGAAAGGCCACAATGAAAATTGTTCTATGGCTGTGGTATTAAAAAAGCTATTCGTTTGTGACACCATTACATTTACGTTCTAGACTTGAAGAAACACACTTGATCAATAAATCAAAACTCAGTTAATATTCAATACTATTCAATAAACTACTATTCATTAACTCGATAATTTTGATGCCCAAGAAGTATAAAGTTTTCAAGCATTATCTTGTTTTTCTGCTTTGCAATTTTCATACTAAGTTTATACAAAATGGTCTGATGATTTGACAATTTAATAACTGTTATTTTAAACCAACTGTAGCCAAAATTCATATGCCCCCCCCCCCTGCGGATATGTCTTCTGTTAAAGAGCACAAGTACCAACTGTAATGTTGAAATGGGTAGATGTTGGACTACACAGGTTTGTTTTCAGGGCGCTGGTCTCAGCAGCTAAGGGGAACTTTGTATGTTGCCTATATTTATAAAGTTTTCAGGTTTCGCCTGTCTTCATTCAAGATTTTCAGATAACTGTCAATAATGGTTTTTTTGAAGGGAATATTGAAGTATAGGATATTCAATTTAATTTTCCAGGTTTTTGATCACTATTGGGACGGTTTCGTTGATGAGACATGCCGCGAGCAGATGCCGAAAGCAGCTGCCTGCCTCTATGGTGAACTCGGTAAGTTTCAAGGATTTTCGTCACACCCAATTGCCCTTTTGCTAGAACCTTATCAATTGTGCTTTAGAAGTTCAAGGTTTCGCCGTCTTCTTCACTTTAACTAATTATTATAGTAGAGTTTAAATTGTGCAACCTTTGAGCACGATCCTAGAGCATATGAGGTGGTATATCGACAACCCCATAAGTGAAACTTCGAGTCTGTTTTTTGTGCTACAGGTACATACTCTATCGTTTATAATAAACTTATTTCACAGAAAAGTAAAAGCGGTTTCTTTTAGCCGGTTCAGTTTAAAAATGTTCCCGAAAATTCTACTGTATAATGTTTTGAGTTTTAATTGAGAACTGATCCATAACACATGACGGTAGACAACCGTCGCGATTAATATTTGATAAAATGTTAGTAAGGTTGAATTTTTTTTATCAAAATTTCCTTCTTTCAACTCTTGAAACCAGATTTCCAAAAGATTTTGAGGCCCCCAAGCATATAAATATTCCTTTTTCTAAAGAAATCACTATAGAGCTAGAGGAATTTCACTGATTTAAGAGTCACATTAACAAGCCATCACAAAATGTTCCTTTGCTGTCAATCCTCGTACTGTTTAAAGCACAAGGAGAGCCCTTCCATCCATTCAAAAGGATTGCGTTCCTACCAACTAAAAAAGGTTCTGTTATTGATGAATTTTTACGCGCCAGTGTGATTCTGGCTACGTAGGACGCACAACCCAAAGATTAGGGGATATGATAAAACACCATATTCCTTGCAACATTTGAAACAAAACTGCCCCTCAGAGAAAACAGCCTCCTCGATCTTGTAGGTCTGAAAATACCGCGAAAACTAGTGATTCTGCCATCGGACAACAGCTTTTAGATAACCCAGATTGTTCCAAAGTCTATCTAGCAATTTTGAAATCGATCTACAAACAAACGTAAAGGCCACTATAGTGTAGATAGAAGTAGTTTGTTTCTTCTCTCGGACGCCAGTGGTAATTTTTCTATGGGCACAGAGAACTTAAATATACACTCACGTTCGATAAGTATTGCACCACTTCGATGAACGAGTAATGGCGACGGAGTTGTAAACAATGTGCGACTTGCTAAATGTTATCAAAAACTTTTGAGGCAGGCTGTTTTACATTTCATATGTTGATTTTAAAAACACATTCGCAAGATCACATTTAGGTGTCTGAGATCACAGATGATCATTACTGGCCTTGAATTTTGCAGAAAGTGACACTTGCGGCCGTTTTTTAATGAGGACTCTTTCAATGCCATTGAGACACTTGTGTGTCTCTGTTTGCGACTGTTAATCGCTGAAAGTTTGAGCAATTTACAGCATTATTCGTTCCCTAAACAATATCGCAATGGACTGGAAAACATTAAACTAAAGACAAGTTACATGTTATATCAATTGACTTCTTTTGTGCAATACTTTTTGAACGTACGTAAGTGTATTTAAAATGAAGGGTTTACGTGTAAGTTGTTTGGGACAGCCTCGTTTTTGTGATTTTTGTTTAATGAAATCGAGGCTGTGAACAATGGTGTAGAAAACTCAGATTTGCTTGAAAGCCTCATTTGAAGAAAATGAGACAGGCTGCTACGTGCTTGGAAAGGGTTCTTCAAGATTTTCCTTATAGCCATACCACTTATGGCTAAATAAATCCATTCGATCGATACCTTTGTTTTCATTAGCTACTTCCTCTAAAGACCCAAAAAACCAAGTATGATTTGGACATAATGTTACACTTAAATGTTTTCTTTGTTGACAGCAGACAGATAATAGAGAAATTGTCATGCGAACACCTCCAGCATAATCAACGTAAAGACACAAGAATGGTAGTAGAATTCTTCATTCTACTTGATAGATTTGTTGACTTTTGAAAGTACCAACTTTTTACATAGAATCTCTCTCTTCACAGCGACGAAGCATATCCAAACGCCTTTGTATGTGATGGTTGCCCAATGGGATTCATATCAGCTGACACGCCTTGTTGCTGTCAATTTTAAGTCAATTTCACTGCCACCGAAGAAGAACAAAGAGCGGACTTACCTTGCTAAATTTGGCAACAACACTTTCAGGTCATTGACAACGGTAAGTTGAGTGAGAGTTGCAGCCGTTTCCCATCTTACCTTTCTTGTCATTCCCCCGAGCGTTTTTCTGCATTGTATACACAATTCTTGCAAGTGAGATGGCAACGGGTATCGTATGACATTTAACGTTTTTGCCTTTTTACTTGCTGTACCCTGAAGCGATTTGTCATATTTCCTAGGATTTTCGGGAAACGTAATTTGTCGGTTGATATATTAGAGTAATATGCATTTTGATCCTTTATGATTGATTTTCTACTCAACTCAGGCAGAATGAGAACTAATTCTTCTACCCCGATCCGCTTTGTCAACCGGTTTTTCTAGATTTACTCTTAAATTATGTGGTATTGTTCCAAAGTTGTTAGATACTATATATACATTTATTGATGCTCTCTTTACATACAGTGCAGATATTTCTTTGACATTTCTTTCCAACTAAAGTTAGTAAAGTATTTCTTTCAAGCATGCTATTTCCCGTGTGTCGCCAGCATTTTGCTTTCCTCGTCTGTTTACTCAACTGCTCTTCCTCTATCTTATTGCAGATTTCTATAGACCCATGCTTACTGCAACACTTTAATGAACACTTTACCCATATTTGTAAAAAGCATTAAAAGTGAAAGCTTTAGCCATTTAAAATTTTTGGAAACTTTGAACAAATATATGTTATAAGATAATGCAACTTTGCTGATTTATACGAGATATTTGGTAGCTGAAAAAACCTGAGATCCTCATTCAAATATCACTCATGCGGAATCTAACCTTCAACGGCTGCAATGAGATTTAACAGTCACTGTTACGCATCTCAATATCTATATCAGTCTTCCCTATTCCATTTAAAAATGGCTTTGAAAAAAGCAAACATTTTACAACATACTAAAAGCTTTTTCGTCTGACACTCCTCAGAGCATAAAACGTCAGAATCAGGGTCCGAAAGAACATGATGAAAAATATATACCCAGTTGTGGATCGAAATAGGCCAATCAGAAAAACGCAAGCACAAGACCGGTATAGTTGACCAATCAGTGCCGCGAGCCTAAAGAAAAATTACCACATATTCCATTTAATTTTTTCGAAAAAAAGGATTTTCACCTGATTAATTTCTATTTGTCATCTGTATTTGCATTTGTTTCATTGCGCATCATCATTATAATCATCATTTATTTAATTATCGAACGTTTTATGCTTTTAAGCTAGAAGACCTAGACCCAATTAACTGGAAGACCTTGTGGGAAATTTGTGCTTACGATTGGTAGAGCTATAGTACACAGCATTTCCATCTCGCAGAAAAATTTTCGTCCTGTTTCGTAAGTTTACAGAAAAGGAAAGTTTTAATGTACAGAATGTAAATTATTTTCGATTTTTCGTAATGAGTGGGAATGCTAAAATTGAATGTATGGAATCATTGGAAAAAACTCAAAAGTTTATGCAAAACGTACGTTTTTAGCCATCAATATAAAAGTTTTGTCACAGGGTGACCTTTTCAGCAATGGGGATATATTATTTATACGGATCCTGCACAACTTAAGAGCCAATGAAAAAATCAAGAATGTATTGGAGTGTTGGTTTAAGCAGTTTGACGGTTTGATGTAAAATGCACCTAAGAACTCTTACGGATCATGAATTTTGAATCCATTTTGCCATTTTCTGATACAATTTTGTCCCCACTTGATAATTCAAATATTGTATGAGAAAACAAAGTTGCTTTTCTCAACCGTGCATTATTAATCCGATCTTTCAAAATTGAGTTACTTTTACGTGAAATTTTGTTTAAAAATCCTCCTTCTAATACATTTTTAATACCTGTTTTAAAATAATTCTTTACCTACCGCGTTGATGGAAAAAAGCTGTTTAGATCTCACGTTTAGACGAGGTTTAACACAGCATGCATTTGAATTTTGTTGAATTTTGACCAAGTAACAAATTTTGCAGGAGAATCGCCGTTTTATGTTTATAACTGTTTCTGCTTGTAGTAAAATTTAGTCCCTGCATTGCTAATTTTTTATGAAAGACGAAGGCAAATCAAGAATTAAATCATGATTGGCCGAATGTTGAATCTTTCTATCTTCTCAGTGATATGTGGTGATTTTGCATTGACGATAATATAGTTAGCAAATAAATTTAGTACCAGAATGAAAATATAATAGTTTGATTGTCAAAACACGACGTATCGTTATTCTCGATGTAGTACCGCACGCAACGTACAAATTTAATTTGATTTTGCATTGGCAGATAATTTTTATGTGTACTTCTACATTATTGGTCTTTGGGTACGTTAAAATGCTCAACGAATACTTCTAAATCTCGTATGAAATATTAGAGAAGAGAAAAGATAAAGTACATAGCTAGTGGCAGCTGAACTGTCCAAGCAAACAAGCTGCGAACAATTGCCAAGTCGCTGCTTTTGAGGTTGAAATCAATGTGAGAAACTTAAAGCTTTTCGTCAAACCTCATTGGCAATCTCCAACCCCTACTAATGCATGACATTGGCCGACCCTTGTCACAACTGTGCGGAAAAATCATTCCGATAGTCAGAAAATGTGCCGTTGAGAAGTCGTTCGTTTTAATGGTTTTATTGATGTTTTGATGGCTAATTATTTAAAAGGCATGTATATATACATATATATGTATTGATTCTGAAGAAGCATATCGCGAAATGTTAAGCAAGTTGTTTTTTTACTGATCATCTACATATATATATTCTACGCTAGTGCGGTGTATTTTTGAGTAATTTTTTTATTTTTAGGCCAATTTATACGAATTTTGGCCTGAGTTAGTCACCCGTCTGGCCTTCTTTTGTAAATTCCATCTGGCAACCCTGCTCTCATTGGCAATTCTGACTGTGTTTTTATTTTTCATCTTGTAAATCTCGGCGCTCAGCTCACATCATAGATAAAAAATATTGTACTTTCCTTCTAGCAGGAATTATGTTATTGCAGAATTTTATATCAATAATTGAATAGTAGTTATATTGTACCACAGTGAAGAACAGACTTCAATGCGCCTCCTAAAATGATTTTTCTTGCATTTTAGCTCGCTGCTCGTTCGAAATGTGGTGTCTTCTCCCCTGCCTGTCACTGCCATACTTTCTTGACATCTTGTTTTGAAGGCAGCACAAGCTGTCAGTACCCTCCATCAAACAAATACTCTATAAAAGGTTTGTCAACGCGTTTACTATCGTTTTACGAGCGTGTACAACTCAATGTAGCCTTTAGTATTGATAGGCATCGCCTTCCTGACATGCCTTTCATGACAAGTTAGACTGTTTTATAAGAAGACGCACTAGTATTGGCTATTTTTAATAAACTTTTAAAGCTGCTAGCAAAGTCTCTTAGAACATTTGTGTGATATCTTGATACAAAAAACGCATAAGGGCATTTTTTTAACATTTTTGCATTGAATTACTTAAAGCCCCCTCTCTAATGAGCTCCCTTCTCTTTTAAGCCCCTCCTGTTGGATTAAAAAGTCAATTAGCCCCCCGGGCTTCATAGAACTTTTACGGTATTAGAATATATATTTTGAAATTGTACTTAGCTTTTCCTTTCCAAGTCAGGGATGCACTGATGTTTAAACAATGTTTCTTTTTCAGGACGGACAGCATATAAAGCATTGTCAGAGTGGTACACGTCTGATGGTAAAAAGGGGACATACGTAGAAAAACCAAAACAAACTCCCTCTTGTAATCCTACATGCTGCTCTTCTCTCTGTTACAAGTGCAAATTGGAATCAAGAAATATTACACCAACAAAGAAAGTGACGAGAAAAGACCCAGAAATCAAGGAGAAAACGCTACTGAAACGAGTTCCTAAAAAGAAAAATTACTATCTGTACTACTCAAACAGATCATGGAAATTACTGGGTATGGCTACTGTATTCTATTTAGCACTTCTGCATTCTCGTTTTTTGCCATTAACTAGAAATTAGAAAAACTAGACACTGACAGTAGGAACGACCAGTTCCCCTCTACAAGTTCGATGTTGTCACGAATCTTTAGAAATAGCAATCGTTATTGCAGTCTTACAGTGGTTCTAGTGGTTCTTTATCTCCCTCTCAATAGAAACAGGTGATTTTAAAACAATCTTTTACCTATCCTGAGATATATTTAATTTATTTTGATCTTCAGTCATGGTCTTTTTACAGTGACCTAAAATAATGCTTGGCTATATTTTCTACAACTATGAACAAATGACTCTGCATCTTCAAAACAGCTCTTCAGTGATGACATCATAAAATCTGTTTTTATATGTTTTGCTTTTGGACCCCGTTACTTGAAAAAGCATCATGAAACACCACTAAATATGCGAAATCAATTAGATGTATTAGAAATTGACTGAGATATGGCCACATGAGTACAGGCCCTTTTAACCATCGAACCACGACAATTTGGTCTCCGTTCATACTTTTTTACGAGCAAAATTAAAATCTTTAATTTGCCATAACACACTCGATATGAATTGCCATATCACATTCGATGTTCAGAAGCATTTCCTGGTGTTCTTTACGTTATGTAGTGAAATTTCTAAAATTTTGGACGTCACACTAAAAGACGTCATGAAAAATCAATATTTCTTTGAAAGTAAACAATAATATCTGATTGATGCTGAGTTTTTAGAAAAGTTTGAAGAGTTTTTTTTTATTCGATGACTATATGAAAAGCATTGTGTCCGGTCATTTAACCGTTTGAAATTAGCAATATGATCTGAGGCACATTTGCGATTGATAAATCGTCGAGAATTAGTCCCGCGTTGCCGATTGAAAAATGTAGCAATATGTTACTGTACAATGCAAGCAATGGGAACCTAAGTGACCACCGAAATTCAATGGGACAAAGTGACTTTTGCTGTTCTGGTAACGCCAATTCTATTCACCTCATTGGGTAACGCAAAGTTAAAGGCATTGAGTCATGGTAAATAGGCTTTCTCTATAGGGGGTCATTTGGTTTCGGCGTGATCGCTGCTGTTTCATGTGATATTGGCATCCGTTGTTGACAACTTGCTATTGATGGAAACTGTCATGTTAATCAGTACAAGGTGAGTTCATGTGACCAGTTCAAGGTCAACCAATAGCATCGCAGTCATGGAAATCATGACTCAGCGGATTTTGGCAATTTGGGTATACCCAATCTATTTACTAGAAATAGCTCTTGCTAGTACTGCCCGCAAACAATTAGTTCCTTGATAATGATTGTTTTGAAAATTTAGGTCAGGATATTCGAAGAAGACACCATCTTGGGTTTTCACAATTTTATTAAAAACAGCTGCTCTAGTTGATGCTAAACTATTCTTTTTATCAAGAATTTTTGGTGTTCAGTTTGCATTTAAGTCCAACGCCCTTTTGAAAATCATGAAGTTTTTCTAGGGTTTGACATTTATTTTGCGTTTTCGTGAAGCAAAGACGTATGAAAATGGACACGTGATATAACGGGTACAGCTAAAATCGATTGCGATAGAGGATTCGTACAGCGATGTACAGGCTATAATCACGACAATCATAACTTTTGCTCGTACGGTGTCGAGTTTTTGGAAGAAAGGTGTGGCATTCGACTGGTTTTGATTCCCAAAACTTCGAATCAAAACTTCCATCCATTGCGGAGAACCGAGCTGTGATGCAGCACCGTTTTCGTGCCAAAAAAACCGAAGGCCTTTAACAGAGTCTTGGCAGAGCAACTCTCCGAAGATAATTCCCTTCCGCACAAATAGGTGGCGGTTAACGACCTGCTCGACAAAGCCGATTGATTGACAATGAAATTGATTGACAGTTGTCATGGCAGCAGAAAAGTGACAAAATCTGCTGACAAAGTGCTGACAACATGAACTGAAGCTTCCATATGCTACTTATACGCGGGGCAGACTATAAGCCCTTCACTCGCGCGCTATCGCGCGCGAGTTGCGGGCAATCATGACTCAATGCCTTTAACCTGAATGATCCGTGATGTGCTGGCTTTCTTCAAATTAACGCATTTACCTTGTGATACCTTAAGTCAATTACCAGTTAAAACATTATTTGTCATTTTAGGGGACTCACTACATTTCCTGCTGCTCTGGCTGATGCTAAGTCACTATCTAGTTGCGAGTTGATAAAACACTAACGCAAGGCAATACAATGCAAATGCTTTTGTTGGGATGTTGGTTATTCATTGGAATGGTACAAGACAAATAAAGCCAAAGGAACCTCGATCGCATCGTGTTCATAAATCATATGCATCAATTATGGTGGAGTCTTGATTTGAGCTAAGAAAGAAAAATCATTTTGATGACCAGGAGAATCAATTTTTGACAGGGTCAGGGTGGAATAAGAAACGCCTGAAAGCCGTGGATTGCATTTACTTTGCGCATTTAAATGTGCGAGTGACGTATTGTCACCTATCGTTCAGTTATTAAGTAAATACCATTTACGTAGATGCAAGTTAAAAATATACAAAGACAAGTAAATGGATATCAATTACCTCCAATTTATCTATATATATTCAACCAAGCAACAAACATAATTAAGAAAATCCAGGTAGTACAAATAAAGTTCTAAGTTATGACGTCACAAAAATCTTTTTAGAATGTTTGGATTTAGAGCACATAATCGGAAAGAGAATCTTTGAATGCCTCCAAATGTGCATAATCAGCTAGATCTGTTCAGGATTGCTTAAGATATGGCCACATAAGCACAGGTTTTTTCCCTATCAGATCACTGTAATTCGGTCTTTATCAACCAAGTCAAAATAATGGCAGGCTGCTAGCAAACCTCAAATCCTTTATTGGCCATATCGCACCAGTTCTAAAATTATTCAACTGATTTTCCATGTTTTAATGTATTTTATTGCATTTTTTTGGGTTTGCGATCACAAATGTGAATTAGGTCACAAATTAAGACTAGATTTTTATGACGTCACATTTTAGAGCTCTATGTATGAAAGAGACACCCTGCATCAAAACTTTTGAGTGACCTTGTAAAGACCATTTTTTTCCGGGAAGCAAGATTTCACAATAGGCGAGTCACCTTAATTCATAAAAGTGTTTTTACAGTTTCTGCAATGATGTTACCTCCTAAAACAGAGCAAAACAGCGCAAATTAAAGTTTAGAAATGCAACGTACAGCTTTGTAACGAAATGTAAAAAATAAATGCCACGAAGTGCTAAACTCGATGAAAATGAGATAAATGTAATGAACGGTTGCATTGCACAGAAGTTATAAATTCCAATGCTGAAAAATTTAAAACCAAAGTCAGCTGCTGTTTTGGAGTTTTTATTAAAAGTTTACGTAACAATTTTTACTCTTGTGTACGTCGAATATTAAAGATTACTTTGCAAAAATTTATTTGGTCATTCACTGCTTTTCGCGGGCCCCTATTCTGCTACCGCCTTGGATCGATTAAATCCTTAAATAATTTAGCTACTGTGTGCTGTTTAGGATTAGTATACTGCTGTACAAGTAGATTCGTCTGCTAAGCTTTGGGCCTAAGAATGGTGGCGACTTTTGGTCTGTCGCATCTGTGCATTCTTGATTTGAAAATTAGTAAGCTAAGCTGAAGCCCTGTTGATACATAAAGAATACCATATTGTTGTAAATTAATTTCATTATTTTTCTAAATCTATTTTCGTTACTGTGTAAATAGTTATCGAATGAGATGCAGATATCAATATTATATGAACATTTGTAAAGATTTTGCAGACAAATAATCTGTTTTGAGTTTTTTTACTGAAAAACTGCACTATCCTGATGGCATGACAGAACTAATTAGCCGCCCGTTTTGAACCCTTTTATCAATTATAAGCAATTATAAGTCATCATCATCAGTTATCACGAGTCGTGTTAAACAGTTGTCATCACATCTATCTTCATAATCACCGTATATCATCGCAATCATCTTCATAATCATCGTTAATCATGATTTGTTATCATTGCAATCGTCATTAACAAAAACACTAGCACTTCATGTCATTGCAGACACAGGGTATTCCTTTCCCTTATGCTCGTGGCATTTTCAGATTAGTTTGTTTCGATGTTGGTCTGTCACAAATGAAGACTGTTGTCTAGGGTTCTTTCTTTCAATCTAAGTGTAATTCCAGTTAAAAATGTCAATTCCAATTCCTTAGGTACATGTATCAAACATGCATCATTGTTTTTTCATTCTTTGTTCTTTGTTCTTCGATCATGCACGCTTAGACATTTCTCTGGGGCATTTAACGTGCTCAAATAATCATCTTGAGAGTTGATTCTTCCTTCTGGCAAGGCTTTGCTTGATATTTGGTGCCTGTTGTAAAAAACCCAGTGGCTAGTCGATTCGAAAGGTAAGAATTATGTCTCCATATATATTCGATGTCGTCTATATAAACTGCATCTTTTCGTGGGTCTATTCTATTCTTGTTGAACAGCATTAGGCCTACCTTGAAACTTCACGGGACACGTGGCTACTATGCACTGACATTTCTAGCTGAACTATTTCGTAAGTCGATCATCGAAACCTGAAAGTTAGCTGAAAGCTGATAGCTGAAGTTAGTGCACAGAATGCCGCAGTTCTGGCAAACAATGAAATGTTTTGTTCATAAAGCAAAACAACTACCAGGGCGGTATGGCGGCTATCATGCAGTAAGGACCAAGTTGAAGTTGTGGCGACACATTTTACAGAAACAGCCTTAAACTTTCAGCTGGTATAAGGTAATTAGCCCTGAATGAGAGTGGGCGCTCCTTGGAAATTAGTCAATCGCCAAAGTTCTGTGTACTGTATCAATAGACCAGACGGAATTGGAAGGGAATACCATTTTGGGGCGGCAGAATTTTGATTCCCAGTTTCGAGTTCTTTACCAACTGGTGATATTGAATTGTAATGGTAAACGGGGATTTGCCGCTGCTTTTGGGGGTCAAATGGGGGTTAAATCAGAATAAGTTCCTGCTTATTCTCTGCGAAGGAGAAGCTTAACCGGAATGACGCTTTTAACGAAATAAATATGAAAGACAGCTTATCTTTTTTGGTAGAAATACATTTAAAATAGTATAATGATCTTCAATTCGTCACATGACGCCTAATTACCCCATGCCTGTCACAAATATATGGGTATCTTATTAAAAGTGGGCAAAGCAAAATCATCTTTTGACACCGCAAATTAATTTTAGCATGCAACTGGCTATCAAAACATTAAGAAGGGACTGTCGTGGTAAAACTATAAAAAAGGGACTATTTTTTGTTTCCACTACATTAACGAAAGTTCTTCAAGAGCGAGTTTATTGAATAAAATTTCTCCCAGAATTTCTATCGATTTACTCTTTAAAACACTCATTCGCTATTCTAGCTCGTTTAGGCCCACTTTTCTTTTTTTAAATGGCTTTGAAAAAAGCAAACACATGAAAGAATTTCGTTTTCGATGTTCACGTTTTGCATGAACTCAGCGAACGTAAAAGAGTCCTTGATACAATGTTTTGAATATTTTTGAAGAACAGGGTCCAAGACTTCAGAAAGCCACTTAGCCAGTTCGTGTTGTGCTGAGCCAATCATAGACAAAATGGGTCTAAGTGGGACATTCGGCTTGTGTATTTTAGGGAGGCCATACATTTGTGGACGTTGTGAACCTGTGGGTCTTATCCTATCATAAACTTCGTTGGTCAACACTTTTGAGTTAACCAGCTCCAAAAGGCGTTTTTGAAGTTTCCGCTCTAGCTTGGCCGTTTTATCCTGTGTTTCGACGTCACCCAATTTTTCGAACTTTTCTTTGTCGAGGAGAATATTCTCCATTTTTTGGATATAGTCCTTTTTGTTCAAAATAACCACTCCTGACCCTTTATCAGGCTTTGTAATAAAGATGTCATTATTAGACCGTAGAGATTTTAATGCTTGAAAATGTTCTCTATGCAAAAGAAAATCTGAGTGGTCGATGGGAGAGCCGCTGTAAGCGTACGCCAAATCGCTTAGTCGTGCTCGTAATTTGTTAAATTCCAAAGCATCAAAAGTCGGTCTTGCAAATCCAAAATTAACAATAAAACCTGCGATTCTGCTATCGGGCAGCATTTGCTAGAAAACCCAGATTGTGCAAAAAACTATAATGGCGACATGTTTCGAATTATTGGTAAAGCCCGATCGTCGTTCCACCTAGCAGTTTTAGAATCTATCTACATAAGCACGAAAAAACCGCTACTGTGTAGACAAAAGGAGTTCGTTTTCACCTTAGGACTCCATTGGTAACATTCTAATAGGCAAGCGGCACTGATTGGTCAACCTTTACAGTCATGTGCTCGTGTTTCTGATTGGCCTATTTCGATCCACAACTGGGTATATATATTTCTTAGCGTAGAGTTTTCGATCTATGTTCTGACGTTTTAAACTCTGAAGAGTGTCAGACGAAAAGCTTTAGTTTACTAAATGTTTGCTTTTTTCAAAGCCATTTACAAGTTTTGTACCACCAAAAGATTGTTTTCTTTTTTTCCGTCCCGAATACGAGGTTCATCAGCGCGTCTGGCTTATACATTCGCGCGAATATATGACTTCAGTGCAGTAAGATGTAGTATTTCCCCATTTTACGGCAACAGCAACTTCTACATATTACCGGTACCCTATATTACGGCGCTCTGCACCACGGCGGTTGACTACACCGGATTTGTGCTTGCATTTTCGTGATTGGCCTATTTCGATCCACAATTGGGGGATGTATTTTTCATCGTGTTCTTTCGGACCATTATTCTGACTTTTTATACTCTGAGCGGTGTCAGACGAAAATAATTTTAGCCAATGTGTTGTAAAATGTTTGCTTCTTTCAAAGCCATTTTCAAGTCCTGTATAGCCAAAAAATGGTTTTTCCTGTTAAAGAAACCATCAAACTAAGCATTAAGATTAGTTCATCTTCAAGTGATTTTTTCTTTTATGGACCTCTTATGGATATCTTTGCCATGGACCTCATACGGATTTCTCAGGTGATGGAAGAAATATTATAAATAATAAATCACGGTATTAAAACTCATCTTCTCGAACTTTCATAGAAAAAGCCCGTGAATTTTCCTCATGATTTCTCAAGAAACGGGTCCAGCTGGCAATTCCCAATTTGCCACCCGGGCTTCACTGCACCTACTATAACTAGCCTTATGCCCTGTTCACACGATACCGGATTCATTTCCGTTCGGATCACCTTTCCGATACGTTCCGTATCGCTTTTGCGGAGTCACACCATTCCATTGTGAATATGGGATGTAATTATATCGGATCACTTTTTGCTCGTGTGAACGCATGAGTCCGATACGGTTTCGCTTCGCTTCGGAACCTCTGTTGCAAAACGGCAGCTTTTTTTCAAGACACAAAATGACAGTGGATCCCAGTGAAACGATAAATATATGCTCCTTGCGATGATGATGATGAGCTTCACAAAATTAATGCCAAGGAAAATTAGATTGTTTAAAAACCGATTTCGTAATACTTCTTCTTCAAAATAAAACAGCGTAACAGATATTGTTTTTTATAGCAGCGTTGAAGCGTAGCGTCATCATGTGAACAGGAGTGAATCCAACATGAAATGAATCCGGTATCGTATGAAAAGAGCTTAATATTTGTATCGGATTGGATCAGTGAATCCGACATGAAATAAATCCGGTATCGTGTGAACATGGCTTTAGTACACTGCACGAAAACGGTGATCTTACTTCTCCACCTGGAACAGTCTGTCTTGGGAGTTGAAATACACTCAATGCCATTCTATAGGTATCAATATGAGCCATTATTGACTTTGAAATAAAGACAGCTTGTATTTTGCAACCAAAACTAGTTGTTGTCCGGAAAAGTTCTTTGACAACGGTCTGTCGAATGCTGAACGGAATTTAGCCTGCTATTTCCTGCTTTATGTAAGGTGACTTTAAAGAAAATCAAGTCCAGCAATCCTTCTAAAAAGTCTATGATATTGATGCTTTGATACTTTATGAAACATGGAGATCCATGCATTGTGTACATTCATTTGTAATTTTAATTTGAGTTATATGAAGAATGGTCCAGACCATTAAAGCCAGATTTGTGAGATTGGCAGGTGGAATCCGCGACAGCCAATTTAAAAGTCATCAACGTAAAGGCGATTATCTTAGACCTTATTGAGTTGGGAGGAACCCTTGGAATTAGCCTGCGTGAGTATCAGCGGTGCAGAGTTTCGTTCCCACTCTCCTCATAACACCTGTACCTCTTAGATTTAGGCTAATTCCCGTAAGCGCCACATGCCCAGCTCCTACAGGGAATTCATGTTTGGTACCAAGATCACCTTACAGCGTTCCGTTGACATAACATTTTGTTCTCTGAGATGTTTCAAACCTCCCTCTCTCTCTCTCGGCTGTTTTTAAGGTCATCATTAATTTTTGACTCAACCAAGAAAGCCTTTTTGTTTACATTATTTTTGCTAGTAATTTCACTTTATTATTGGCGTTGCAGAAACGCTCACAAAAATCATCTCTTGCCCATAGAATTGTTTGAAGCAATGTTCAGTTTGTCTCACCACCTTAAACTGAGCATCGCGCTGAAAAACGCAGATCAAATGCAAATGTTGTGTGTTGTACAGCTCATTTGACCGGGGCTTTAATTGACAAAAGCAAGTGACTATGAATGATATCAGATTTAATGAACTTTAATTACTCTTACTCCATCAACAAATAATCAAATTACATCAATAAGCCATGTGAAAGTCATGTGACCTCAAACCATGAGGTTATCTTCCAAGGAGACTCTCGATTCCATCAAATGTGTTTGTCATCACACCATTTCCTAAGCTGTGTTGGCATGTAGACAGAACTTTGACAAACCTTATTCAGATACAAAGATAATTCAGTTTGCAAAAACGATAAGAAAGCTCAAGTAATTATGATTCCAGCTTTGACTTTATGAATAAACTAGTGAGTTGACCTGCAACTGAAATAACTTACGCTAAACCCTTGAATCAAGATCTTTACAAGCAATTTATTCGTAAACGAAGGAAGCTCTTTCCTTTGTGCACTAATACTATTCAATCTAAAAACTCTACCAGTATCAACTTGACAAAAATGATACATAAACGATGGTCTCCCTTCGAAGGATTCCTTCTCCACCTGCTTTCCAAAATGCAGATGGCCTGCCCTTATTTTGTTTGGAACCACTAATTCATTTTGATTGCTACGCTGATTGATTGAAGAAACCCATGGCCTGCTAAAGTATCTACCGTATTTACAGTATTCACAGTAAGTATTTACACAGTGGCGTACCCAGGGCTGCAGCAGGAGGGGGGTCTGGGGCGCAGCCCCCAGAAAGATTTTTGAACCACGCCCTCCAAACACTTGCAAATGCGGGGAAACGCCCTTTTGCAAAATTCCCCCCCCCCCCACCCCCAATATTTGATTCATGTTAGCTTCGGTAAATAGCAAAGTATTTTAAAATTGTTATTGACACAAGCATACAGTATACTATACCTCCCTCCAAATGTGTTTTACATCGTTTTTGGACAAATCTCGATCGAGGATCATATTTTAGAAAAGTGGGAGGGTCCAGACCCCCCTTCCCCCCCCTTGGGTACGCCACTGTATTTACAGTAAGTTCGTAACTTTGTCGTATATAAACGGCTAACTATCTATGTTATTGGGTGTTGTAGTGTTAGTTTACTATGATATTGATTATTGAACATAATAAGGTTTTTAACGAGGACTACCTACAAATGAATTACTTTAATGCGTAAAATACATAATAGTTGTGTCCATAGTACTAAGCGCTACGGATCTAGCATAACAAAACACTGAAGGATAGGGGTACTCTACATTTCTCCTTTCTATAAAACAACGACATAATGTTAAGAATTGTACAGTAAAAGGGCTGCCAGCGCCCGGCACAAATCGAAGATGACCGCGCCCTGTAAGATTGCGTCGAAGTAAAAGCTGGTTGTGATTGGCTTCATTGTCACTTGCTGAAAATCGGTATCGGAGTCCGGATAAATGTTTCCGAATTTAAGTCTCTTTTTTATTCTGATAAGAGTGGTTTGGAATTTGGAAATAGGAGTCATGGACGATAGCCGTTATGAGACGGTCGTGATAAACAACTTTCATTGGAAATAATCAAATCAAATATTACGATTGTGGTAGTGCTGCATCCCTTGTATAGATATGTGGAGAATATGAATAACTAAATTGAGCAGGCCTCTAGAGAAAAACCTGTCTCCACTTAAAATTCGGCCAGGACTGTTCCACTTTGCTTCTCAGGAGCTGAAATGTCAAATGAGACGCCTTCGGAAGTAAAGTTGTTGGGACACTATGGAACGAAGCGTGTTTTTTGCAAGCTTTCACTTCCATTTTCGTTAGCCAGACTTAATTGCTGGTTCCGCTCGAGAGCTGAACTGGTTCAAATTCAGTTTCCTTTAAGTTTATAGGGTCTTCATTGCTGAGTCTTCTATTATTTTATGCGTGAATGTTTCATGCCGTTCGTTGGAGGGACTTTTACAATTATTAAGCACTTGATTCGCTTTTTCCCTGTCCAGTCTTTTACGTTGGAATCTTTAAAGAGGTTCAGGATACTTTTCCCCAACCATATGCATATAAAAACATCAAATGCACAATCATCGCTGACCAGTTAATATACTATAATACAGACAATGCTTGGTTTTTTATTAAACATTATCTACGAACGAGTTACCTTTGCGTGACCCAACAACAAGTTAATGGATAATACAAAGCACTACCAATAAAAGCTGGGTTACTCTACATAGCAAGTGCAGCTATCTAGCCTACATGAATTTTGTATGATAGAGGTCAATAATTTTGTTAGGCATTATTTTGTATGATAGAGGGCAATAAATATATCCCTGGTTGCCCTAACTTTCGGTTTAAATGGTAAGCACCGTGTGTGATGTTGGTTCTTCTTTACGTCTTTACGTTCTTTACGCAAAATTCTAAAAAATTCGACCCATCATTCCGCAAACATGATGAAAACTTTTCCCATAAATCCGCAAGACTATAACATTCTTAAGACACGAAGAAATCATCAAACAAATTTCGTATGTCTTTTGCCCCAAAATCTCGATTTTACACTTAATTCATACTTTCATTTCTAACTGCACATTCACTTTGTTGATGCCAAATTTCCCTCCCTAATAATTTTGAAATACTTTTCCATAATGGTACCAATAATTGGTAGCGATAATTCTGCATTTTTTAGAAACATGGTACCCCTTAGTAATGGCACGTCACCATGCCTCAAAACGTATTTAAAAGTGCCTTCCCCTTCTTTCCTCTTTCCGAGATCAGTACAGCTGAATCTCGCTCCGGATTGAAAATACTGCTAAGATACAGGGTTCATAGTTTCATTCCCTCAATTGTCTGGTCACCGTTTTCCAGTATCGTTTAAGCTCAAGTTGTACTCTTCTGCTTCTTTGGATGTAAATTATTGGGTTAATAGCACTGTTGAGATAAATCGATGTTGCTGACCACTTCTCTA